CACGTGGCTCCCAGCCCTGCAGCACAGAGGGACGTTGGGGAGAGGGAAAGCGGCCCAAGAGGAAAGGGCACATGGCAACATCCAGTTCCTGCAGTCTCAAAGCCTTCAGCCGCTCCAAGAGGAGGTGGGAAAGCAGCTGCTGCGGCCATGTACCTCTAGCCTCCGTCGGAAAAACAGGCTGAAGCATAAGGCCAATATAAATAAGGGCTCCCAGCCCTGCAGCACAGAGGGACGTTGGGGAGAGGGAAAGCGGCCCAAGAGGAAAGGGCACATGGCAACATCCAGTTCCTGCAGTCTCAAAGCCTTCAGCCGCTCCAAGAGGAGGTGGGAAAGCAGCTGCTGCGGCCATGTACCTCTAGCCTCCGTCGGAAAAACAGGCTGAAGCATAAGGCCAATATAAATAAGGGAAGGGTTTCAGCTCAAACTAGCTCAGGAGCGGGACAGATGGGATGCCAGCATTAAGAAAACCCATCCCAGTTTTCAAACAAGGGGATGTTGTTGCAAGGGCTGAGCCGGGAGCTCACCGCTGAGATGGAGGCTTCTCGCGTGATCTCCTTGTTCCAGCTCAGGTCCTCGGCAGGCAGGAAGGAGCTGTGTCTCATGTTGATCCTCTCCACGGGCAGGACTCGGCCCTGGATCTAAGTGGAGCAGAAACCACGGCAGCTCCAGTGCCACCATGGTGCAGCCATTGCCTCTGTTCCCGGGGCGGGGGAGAACTCAGGCCCTGGTTCCGCACAGCCCTTACCCTGTGGATGTCTGGGTCCAGGCGGAGCCCCCAGCTCATCAGCTCATCCGAGGCCTCCGGGCTGTCCTTGATCCTGCGCAGGAGGCTGGTGAGACGCGTGTAGTGCTGCCTGGGGCTCTGCAGCAACTCCCGCATCACATCCTGTGGTGGGTGGGCACGGGAGGAGGCGGGTTGGGGAAGCTCCAGGTGTGATGGGGGGCTCTGAGCTCCCCCCAGCAGTGGCTGGCCAGGACTCAGCTCTTCAAACCAGGCAACAACCGGCTTGGGTGAGCCGGGACCATGAAATGCAAACATGCTCTGACCTTCACCATTCGACTGTCCTTCCTCATGTCGGGGAGCCCGGTCATGAAGGTGAGCTCCGGCACGAGCAGTACCAGGTCCAGCCGACGCTGCAGGGAGAGGGACGGGCACTGTCAGCACCCCCAGGTGGGTGCAAGGCCCTGCCCTCCCAGCGATGGGCATGACAGGGGCTGGAGGAGCTGAGAAAAGACTGCAGGTCTCCAATTTTCCCTCCCCATGTCTCCATGTGTGGCTCACCTTCCCGTCCGGCAACTGTTTTTCCCTGGGCCTGTGCCCCCCCACCTCGGGTCAGAGCTGGGTGTCAAGCCCTTCTCCACGGACAGACACTCATCCCGAGGGATGCTCCAGCAGGTCCCTACCTGTAGTAGTCCATGAAGGTGATGTCCTGGCCGTTGGCCAGGGTGAAACTGTCCCTCGGGGTCCTGTTCCAGTCGATGTCATCGATGCGGTAAGTGCGGTTGTTGTAGCGGGGGATGACCACGTTGCCCACCAGCTCC